TGGGGGGGGGGGGGGGGGCTTTGAACTCAACAATGGTCGGAAATAATGTATTCTTGGCTCTGCTGGAACAGTGTAGTCGAAGAATGCCTCGACATGTCGGAAAACAATGGCAAAGTTTCCGGAGAAAACCCAATATGATTAGACCTGAAAAAAATGTTACATAAACATTTATAGGCCGAGACCGAAGGCATCAAGCAAAATGGTCGGGGCCAAAGCTCGGTAAACTAATCATCAGAGTTTGAATCTACATAAGAGCTCATGATGTCTCTGTACTTGTCGGGGCCATCATACCATGTAGGTGTGCTGACAATGGCCTTTTCTAGCCAGTACTCATTGTATACCCTTTGCGGCGACATCTGGTCCAGGAATCTTCTCCAACCGTCCATAGCTCGGGTCAGACGAACACTCTTGGTTCCTCCAACGAGGTACTTGATGTAATCCCTGACTAGTCTGAACAATTCCTCGCCGCTAATGATGTAGACATACTGCACCAAAATATGATTTTTGTCAATCTAAAGAACACTATTCTCAAAGCCCTTGACTATGCTCCTTCAAAGGTGTGTCCTTTTACCAGAAATATGAAGCCCAATGTTGCCAAAACTACTTGGACGGTTTCGTCCACGATCCCTTTAACACCGCCGTCTTCTCCTGAACCTTCTGAGCCTCGGCCACCGTTACTGCCATTGCCGCCTCCTCCTCGAGGCGGATTATTGCTGCTCCCACCATCATAATACTCTTTCTTTTGCATCTGTTCTCGCAACAGATCTTCAACTGATTTCTTCCCCATGGCATTCTCGATTGCTTTCCATGGTGATATCTGATGAGGAACAGAACAACATCAGGAGACAGATAAAAATATCATAACATCGGTTTACCAGACGAAGTCACTAACTTCTTTCATGCCACAAACATCATATGTAAGTGAATAGTGTAACTCTGATAAATGACCATTCATGATCTTGGACACCGCTAATGCTACTACCCGGCAGCATGGGAATGTTCAATCAGAATGAATCAAATCCAACCACCTAATAGAAAAATCTCATTCGAACATCAAGTCATCAAGCATCCCCATCCCGTTAATCTAACAACCAGACCCCAAAATGAAGAAAAGCTTCTTACCTCATCGCTACCATCTGACTTATCCTTCCCACCAAGTAAGCACACAGTTGTTCCTTGCCTCTGTTTCCCAGAAGGTGAACGGCGTCGGTGATTCAGAAGAGGAGAAAACTGAGTAGACATTGACCCATTCATCCGAAGAGTCGGTAAGGCACGTGACCGACAATTAAAATGTAAAGACGGTCTAAAGGGTATGCCGGAGATGGGGATCGGCTGTGATGCCCTCCTACCATTGCAGGCTGGTCGAAACAAACAAGCCTGGATAGAGCTCATCTTTATCCTAATGCTTTCCCTAAAACATTAACCTCGGTCTTAGCTGCAAAAATCAACAACACCCATCTCAACAGATGTCCTTCAAAGCGTCCAATCCAAAATGGAAGAGAAAATAACTAAACGAAGCAAAAGAATGATTGCTAATCGTTGACGCAAAATTCAACCCCAGAAAAAAAATACAAAATTCCAGAACTTGCGGAGACAAATTACCATATGAACAGTCCATATAACAAAATCATGTGGGGAGAAACCAACCCACGCTGAAGGAATATCCTTACCAGGAGGATTAACACAGCCCAGAGAGCATAGAAAAGAGTGGAGTAAAGCCAGGTTAAAGCCTAATGAACCCTAATTCCGAATTGAAACCCCAAGCACAAGTACAAACAAAAGAGAAAGCGAAATAAAGGATATAATCTAGGCACACCAAAAGGAACAAAACCGAGATGCTCCGGAAACTAGCCGTACCTCCGACACAATCAGGATTCAGGACCTAACCCTGATCTCCGGCACGAAGTCACAGAAGAAGAGGAAAGGAAGAACGAGAGAAGATGGATTAGAGCGAACCTGGGGACGATTTTGCAAAGATATCAAATTTATTCGGCCCATTGTATACATAATGGACCAAATTGGGCTGACTCCAATTGTGACCACGCAAAGCCCAGATATAAAATTCGCCTTCCATTTTTTTTTTTAATTCAATATTTTATTGGGAATGCCACGTGTCATGAGACGGTACCTATGACCCGACGCTAGAATATGTTAGCCAAACCGGCGCTAAACCAACTTCCCTGCTAAACGGTTTGGTCCAGATGATATATGGTTTGTGTGATTTAATAATATTTTTATGAAGTATAGTTATTTATAATATATGGGCCTGTGACCATTTGAATGAACAGTGTGGGTATTTCTCGTCAGTTGTCATGGGCCGCGATATGGCCGACCGGTCCGGTTCAAACCCTGCAAATGTTTTGGATCTAATCTTTAGTACGACAGTTCTAGGAACAGTCTTATATATTTATTACACATCTAAATTGATTAGGATGACAATCTCTTCCCCTAATTATGTTTTTTTAATAGTTTTCTCCCCGAAATTTTTCATTCATTCGAATATATCTTCAATCTTATTAATGATTACATCTCTTACTTGTACACTTACAGAACAAAAAATCAGTAAAAAAAAAAAACTAATACCACTCCGTCCATAAATCAGAACTGAAACGAAATAATAATTTGTGGAGAGATAATACCATAAACTAATATCTTCATATATTAATTGATAGGGGTGTCAAACGAGCCAGCTCGGATCGTTTTGGGCTCGGCTCATTTGGCTCGGATCGTTTTGGGCTCAGCTCGTTAGGCTCGTTTTCTAACGAGCCAGAAAAACCTCGGCTCAGATCGCTCGCCAATTTTCCGATCTGAA